TTATAATTTATGCAGGAATCGCGCTGTCGCGTGGGACTTCTTGCACTTTATGAATACGCCGAGCCCTCGACACTCAGGAGCTGCGCTTTCCTTGCGGATTTCCTCGCGATTTCTTCAAGAATCGCGATATCGGTGGATTTCCTCGCGATTCATGAAGGACGCACGCTTCAGCAACTCGCCTGCTCGACCTGGCCGTCTGGGCCCGCCTTCCCGACCCGTCCGCTAGGGTCTACCTGCCCGACCTGCCCGTCTGGGTCTGCCAGGAGTTTTCTGCTCCTAGCCCCCTCCTGCTATTTTCTCTCGTGCCCAATCCTCCTCACTCCCCCTTGTCCCTTCCTTCCATCCGTCCTCTCTTCCCCTGCCTCAGGGGCTGCGCGAGATTCATGTTGCAGGTAAGGGAGATATACCCCTAAGAGGGGTACGATCGAAGACGAACAAGGCGTGTATCGAGGGTTTGGGATATACGTGACGAGTGGTACGCGAGCAGATAAGGGCGAACAGTCTTAAACTTGTTATTGGTGTTGTCGCCGCTGCTGATACTGTTGCTAGGGTCCTTGTTATTTATGCTGTTGCTGTTGTTGTCTGGTATGTGATTGTGTTGTTGTGCTTGTTGTTGTATTAGTTATTGTTGCTTTTGTTTTTGTAGTTGTTTTTTGTGGTTATGGTTGTTACTGTTGCTGTTGTTCTTGCTGCTGCTGCTGCCGCTGTTGTTGTTGTTGCTGCTGCTGTTGCTGTTGTTGTTGTAGTTGTTGTTGTTTTTGTTGTTGCTGTTGTATTCTCATTTCAAAATAGAGTCTATCGTTGATCACTCCTTCGGTGCACATAGTGTTTATTGATTGAAGTGCTCCTCCAGGCGCTCGCACCATGTTTGTTTACAAGGGGAAGTCTTGGGTTTCAAAGTGTACCCCTGGTCCCCAGTTTACAACAACAGCGGCTCCCACCTCATCCTTCCTCACAATTGATTCCAGGATCGCGCCCTCGCTCGGGAATCCTTCACAATCTATCCAGGAATCGCGCTCTCGCGTGGCACCTCCTCGCAATGCATTGCGGCGCCGTGCCCCCAAGATTCAGGAATCACGCTCTCGTTGTGGCTTTCCTCACGACTTGCTTGTTGGGAATCGCGCTGTCCTCTGGCACCTCCTTGCGATTCATGTTGGGTCGACGCTTCGGCAACCTGCCCGGTCGATCCGGCCGTCTGGGCGCGCCCGCCCGACCTGCCCGTTAGGGTCTGCCCGCCCGACCCGCCCGTCTGGTTGTGCCGCTTGTACTTCTGCTCCTGGGCCCCCCTCCTGCTACTTTCTCTCGTCCTCCATCCTTCTCCTTCTCCTTCTGTCTCTTCCCTCTTGGAGAGCGAGCTACACAGGTGACAGGGTCGATCACTGCCTGGGTCACACGAGGAGGGGCTCTAATGAGCTTGACCAAAAGATATGGAACGCTGTCAGGAGCTCCGATCAGCTGGAGACAATAATTGCGGAACTGGGGTTCACCTCGAGTCCAAGATGCGTGCGGACCGTTGGTCCATCCAGAAAGCGATCGGGGGTTTCCGCGACGATATCAAATGGAAAGACCCAGTACAGCAAGAAGACAAGGCACATGGATTCACCTGATTGAGAAATGCGGACAGCTGCATGTGACAATCGCAGCCAGTATTTTGCGTTTGTTTGGTGACAGCGGTATCCCTGATATCGGCTCAGCTGATGATGGGATCACTGCTGATCGCCCGACGCAACATACTGGGACGGAAGACGTGGGTCTGCGATCGCCCAGTGCGACTGTTGCTCCGAGCTCTTCGTCGACTCCAGACCAGCCCGTTGATGAGCCGATCCCCGATTCAATCGGAAGTACTCACGAAAAAAGGCTTCGACAGAAGTTGAAAGGAAGGAGTCCAGGCGGGCTGAGGGCACTTGTTCAGCTGCTGCTTCAGCACCCGTTGCTCCTAAGAGTGCTCTTCCCTGCCCTTTACTTCCTCCTCCCGCGCCGCCCGTGCGGGGGCCCCGGGGTCGCTGCTGCTTCTACTGGGCCCCCCCTGGCTGCTGCTTCGATGGGCCTTCACTGGCAGCCGTCTCTGATGGGCGCGTCTTGCGCGACGGCACGCGGACGGTGCCCTGGCAGCCCGCGCAGGGGAAGAGGGCGAGGCCGAGAAGCAGGGGCCCGAACGAGGAGCGGGTGACCGCCGAGGGGCCGCCGCCATGGCGGCATGAGAATGCAGGAGTACTGCCGTGGCAGAAGCAAAAGATGGAGAGTCGCGCGTCGAGCAGCTACTCGGCGCGATATAGTTACCAGCGGAGTCTATACCAAGACCCCTGGGATCGTAATTATCAGTATCATGACAACAAGCATGTTGCAAAGTGGGGTGTAATAGAAACACTGGTGGTCGTAAAATAATTGCGACGACAATTGCGGGATCTACCCTCAAGACGTACGAGGTGAAGCAACAAATGCCGATGGGGGCTCAGCTTCCGACGCGCCACTCGCAGGACAAGACAGGGACAAAGCTCCTGTACCTGTACTCCCACGTTCACTGCAGAGCATGAGTAATTTTTCGGTGAAGTGCGTCGGCCCGCTCCGACCGTACCCGCAGAGATCCACCGGGACTATCGGCACCTCTCCCCCCGTGTGCCCGAAGCGTTTTCGGGGGCGTGCGCCCGGGGCCCTGGTGGGGGGCAGGAAACCGCGGTGCTCTCTGGATTTGGTTGGTGGCTTGGGTCTACGCGGCCCGCCGCGGGGGGAGTAGTCAATGTTTTCCCCCCCGCTCGTTCTTTGCGCTGGCCGCCGCCCGCCGACGCCGCTCCGCAGCCGTGGCGGACCAGTCAGAAGCGCGCGCGGCGCGCGCGCGGTAGGAGGAAAGAGGTGAGGGAGAGGTTCGCGCCGTAGTCGTTTTCTCTTTCTTGTTTCCTTTCCCTATATCTGTGCGTCCGATTTCCAGCTTGACGGATCCGCCATGAGTCATGGGGCCCCTAACATACCAATGCTGTTTAGACCCACTTTCGCCGGGAGTGATGATTCTCTGGCGAATGACTTCATCGTGACCATCATCGTCAGCGTCATCGGCGTTATCGTCTGCATCGTCGTCGTCCTCGTCGTCAAATTCATCAGAATATGTCACCGCCGTTTTCGTCATCGTGATCGTCGCCAGCGTCGTCGTCATCATCAGCAGCGTCGCCGTCATCGGCATTATCATCATCGTCATCGCCACCCTCGCGATATCGTTGTCGTCATCACAACCGCGCACGAACGTGCCGACGCAAGATGCAGCACGCAACGCAGTCAACGCACATGACGCGCAGCGCGCTCCCAGTGCATGAATGCCCATGTAGCGCATGCGTCGCGTAAGCAATGCACCACTCACATTAAACGCGAAGCGCGCGCGCACCCCCCCCGCCCGCCCGCCAGGCGCGCGCCCCGCACGCGCGCCGCGCGCCTCCCCCAGGGCGTGGCCATGCGGGCGTTTCCTCTCGATGCCCCCTGGTACAATGGATATTTAGAGAAACTCCGCGCTTTTGCCGAGGGGGGCGGGAGGGCGAAGTCACGAGGGGGCGCCTGCAGAACCGCCCCCGCTCAATTTTGAGAAACTCTTCCGCGGCCTAGAGACTGGCTACGCTGGAGTTCCTCAGAACTTCCGCGCGCGCACGCGCACGCGCACACGCACACGCACACGCGCACGCACACGCACAGGCACGCGCACGAAAACGCGCACGCGCACGCGCGCGCACGCGCACGCGCACGCGCTCACCCACACCCACACGCACGAGCACGCGCACGCGCACGCGCGCGCACACGCGCACACGCACACGCACACGCACACGCACACGCACACGCACACGCACACGCACACGCACACGCACACGCACACGCACACGCACACGCACACGCACGCGCGCGCACACGCGCACGCACACGCACACGCACACGCACGCGCACACGCACACCCACACCCACACCCACATACACACCACACACGCATGCGCAAACTCATACGCAAACACAAACATGGACCACGCCGAACACCTGACCAACGCAACCGCAGGCAACCAGTCAACACGAGCTACCAACCGCGACCATCTGGGCATTCAGGGGAGCCCAGTGACTGCACACATGTGCGTTGGTTGCATATCCATGCGCGCGTGTGCAAGCAAGCTCTGAGAAGCGGCGCCTCCCGTTCTTGCCCGGAACGGTTCCCGAGAATTGCCCTTTTGCCCGAGACATCTTCACAACGTGGAAATGGTGGAGGCTATCGTTGAAGACGTTTTACGTTAGACATGTCGGTTTCGCCTGGGACATCCACAAAAGATGGGGATGTTGAAATCGGTCTCGAAATCTTCGGATGACGAGAAGCGCCTTCTCTGAACCTGAAGGTGGTGGGAGCTTGTAAGAAGAAGCGTTCTTCATAACTAAGAAAGAACAGAGACGCGAGGGACAATGGGTTCGCGGCTGCAAAGCGCTTTTCGCTTTGGCGGATGAACGAGAAGGTGGTGTGAGTTTGTTGGGCCATGTGTACTACTGACTAATAAAGGACAGAGACGCGAGGGACGACGGGCTCGCGGCTGCAAAATAGTTCTCGCTTGGCGGATGACGGGAAGCGCTTTCTCGGAACGGGAAGGTGATGGGAGTTTGTTAGAGGAGACGCTCTTCATAACAAATAAAACTAAGACGAGGGTTCCACGATGGCCCCACGAGAGTCTAAGATGGCTCATGGGCCCCCCAGAGGGCTCCAGTACTGACCAACGAGGCCCACTAGTAAGCCCCAAGATCATCTGGCCAAAAACAGTTCAAAACCTGAGGGCATCAAGAGGTGTTTCAGAGCTTTTCAGGTTGTATTTGCTCGTTCGAGGATGGCTGTATGAGAGGTCCTGGAGAAGCGGATGGGATGAGCGTCGAAAGAGGCCGTAATAGGGCATGTGCAGTGCATCTAAGTGCTATTCCAGTGTGTTCCGTAGCCGTTTCGTTTAAAATACCGGTTTCGTTACCAGTGCACGTATTTGCAGGTACCATGCGGTCACATGCTTAGAATCTCGTCGCGATCGGTATTGCAAACACGTTTTTCGACGCGGCTTCCCCGCCACGCCATATTCAACAAATGTATATTACTTTCTGCAGCTTGCTTTCTGGTTAATTCGTATTGTACCTTCCTGGTGTACGTCAACATCTCGTCTGGTTTTGTTGGGAACAGTTTGGTGCTTGCGAGAATGTCTTTGCTGGCGCCAGTGGCACGCCCTTGTACAGCTAACGAAGACAACTTCCCAGACCATGCTGGCGAAGATCATTCGTCGGAAGAGGAGGGTGTCGATTCCGATCATAGTGTGGCATCAGTGTCTCGTTGGCTCCTGCAAGCATGTGGGAGGAAGAAGCCACGATCTCTGAGTGAGATCACTTCATATTTGGAGCAACTAGATCAATCCGTTGTAGCAGCGGCTTTGCTCTCGAGCAACAGCAACGAGAAAACAGCTCTTCATATGGCGTGCCAGTTTCGGAAAGGCAGCGAGGGTCCAGGCCTGGTGAAGACGCTGCTGAACCATGGAGCGCAGATCGATGCTTCCATAACACGAGGGCATACCCCGCTGATCTTTGCAGCTGGCCGTGGCAATGAGGCTATAGTGCACACTTTGCTGAGACGTGGAGCGAACCCCAGAATCGTCACCGCGTCAGGTGTTACTGCAGCCGAGATGGCTCGCAATCATTGTAGCCCTGGTACGGCGTACTTGCTTGAGGTTGCCGAGAACAGCGAGACCCGACCTTGGCAAGATTTCCGCGAGAATCCTGAGGCTGTGGCCGCACAGGCGAAGCATGGACGACTCCGGCAGCATGTTCGAGAGAAGCGCGAGGGCAGAGATCCAGCCAGCGACGCCGCAGAGGATCCAGGGGTAACATTGCAGGCAAGGAGCCTCGCTGCAGCTTTAGATAAAGGCATGGATGTGGGACGCGAGGGCTTGGTGTCAATTCTTGTGCACGCCTTCCGCAATCGAAAGATTGACACCGCAGCAGCATTCGTCTTGCAGAGGGCATTCCAAGAAGTTTTCTCGACTGGCGACAGGAGCAGCTTACTGACTGTGTTGCGCGTGTGTCACGAGGATGAACTGGGGCATGCGTTATCACTCCAAGGTGTACGTGACCGGCGGGCTCTGCAGATGGTTTTTGCAAGCTTCTTCACTGAGTTAGAAAAGTCGGGGCATAGACTTTTGGATGATACTCCAGCTGCAGATATTGTGGCAGCGTCGACAAGTCTGCACCTTGTCCTGGAAACTTTACGACTCAAAAAGAGCTTCGACCCGGCAGAAGATTGTCAAACTATGGAACGGATATGGCGCAAGGCGTTCTTTGTTTTCACAAGTAACGCGAATGGCTGGGTGTCTGATGTGATCGTTGTAACTGGACTGCAGTTGTCGAAAAAGAACGGAGGTTCACGAATGGCTGAATTGCTTATCTTGCTACGGTGGGCTATGGCCGTGCAGAGCACAGTGCCAACTTGGCACGACATGGTTACCGACATCTGTTTGTTTGCCGCAGATTCGCACTTTGGCAGCAACTTCGTGCAAGTCGCCAAATCAGCGCTGAAGCCATTACCCGTGCAGGTTGAGAAGATAATTGAAGGAACTTTGAAGGTCAGCTGCCAGGCGTTGGAATTACCGCAAGAAGTTATGCCAACAACCTCAAGCTCAGGAAGCGTAGGTCATACTAAGTTACCCGACTACATTTTGACAGCTTCAACGTATTGGGTCTCTGATGACGACTCAATGAGGGATATCAGGAGAGCATTGGAGCATGCAGTTGAAAGTTCAGGCTCGGAGGAGCCAGTATTAGTGGGTATGGATACGGAATGGGGCGAGCTTGCAAGCGGTGACCCTGATGCGGCACCATCAGTAGTGCAGATTGCAGCTGTTGGCAAGGTGTGGATTTTAGATACGGCTAGTCCAGGCCCCCAGGCAAGGTCTTTAATAAGATGGATTGTGAAGGCCTCACGGCCGGTGCCGCCGACCCTGAAGACGACGACGAGGACCACGAGGAGGAGGAGGGGGAGGAGGAGCAGGAGGAGGATGAGGAGTCGGAGGACGCAGTTGAGCAGCATGAGGAGGAGGAGGAGGAGGCGGAGAAGGAGGAGGATGAGGACGCGGAGCAGGATGGGATGAGATGAGGCAATCATTAAGTAATGATGAGTACGAGAACGCGAGGAGCAGAAGAGATGAGAAAAGAAGAGAGGCAAGGGGCCGGCGGCGGTCCTGGCAGTTGTGGTACGGATGCGCGCGCGCGCTCCCCGCGCGCGCAGCTCCACCGAGCCGCCGCCCCTCGTGCTGAGCCCTCTCTCCTCTCTCTCTTGGCTCTCTCGGCACGGCTCAAAACCTTAGACCATTCATTCTGCTGCTTCCACTTAAGGTACTGCTGACAAGTAGGGCTGGGATGATTCACATAAGCCGACTTGAGGTTCACGCTAAGCAACTGCTGACTGAAGAAACCTCAAGACACACATAACCAGAGTTCGAGAGACGCGTGATATTGCATATTATGGCTATTGTGGGCCCACATCCCAGCTACATGCAGACCAGTACCCATTGGGAGAGCAAAGAACGCACCCCCGAGCGATTTTAAACGAAAGCGCTGGCTGTTTGGCCACTCGGTTTATGTAGCAAGAGTGGCCGAACCTCCACAGACTGAACAGCTCTTCTCGTCGTCGGACAGGGAGTGGCAGGAGAGGCACAGAACACTGGAGGGGCCCAGGAGGCTGGGGAATGTTGCTACGCTCAGGCTTTCGGCCCAGAAGGCCGAGTTCTCTCTCCTTCTCGATCGCATCTAGATTGGCTCTCAGAAGACGATGCCTAACAAGGCACGCTTTCTGCTCAACTAAGGCCACACGTTGACGGGTTTGCTCATGTAATCGGGCTTTGTCGGCGGCTATTTCGGCAATTGCGCCAGCAGCGTGGTTACCAAGAATGAGCCACTCTGGATACCTGCGACTGTGAACCGCTTCCCCGTCAAGATGGGAAGTCACAAACAAAACAGCAATGTGGCCACGACCTTGTTTTTCCACCTCTCTACCTATCTTGGCCCAGATGTCCGCCTCTGGACCAGACTGATTCCTGAATATGTCCTGGTACCAGCCATTGACCACCGAGAAATTGCCCGATGCAAACACAATGAATCCAGGGCTGAGCTGCAGCGCAAGCAGCAACGCCGTGAGCTCACTCCTGCCCACCACCTGGCGGTGTCTTGGCAGAGGCCCTTCGAGAGTAGCACGAACTTTAAGGTCAGCATGGTTGGTTGGATCTGCTGCTAATACCAGTCCAACTCCGACTCTGCGAAGACGTGGGTCGGACGACTCGCGGTCACCGCTGGCGTCACCGAAAAAATGTAGCGGATCTTCTTGTGTGCCTTCACCTGCAATACCTGGGAGAAACTCATTCCAGTCACCCGAGCAATTCCAGTCCTCGATCATGGCGGGAGGGGTGTCTGCAACCCATGACTTGGATATCAGCCCTCGAAGCCAGAAGCATTCGGCCGCCTCCCATTGCGAGAAAGCATTTGGTACGTACTGCTCCGTCTTCTCATAGGCGAGGGATCCTGCATTGCTTTCACAACCCCATGCTCGATGACATGCGGTCTCAGGTTGTTTCTCGCAGCGCGGGCACAGCAGGGACACAGTCTGGCTTGAGAGTTCGCCTGCGCTCTCGTGGCCAAGTAGCTCCTGCTGCCCCCGGTGTCATCAACTCAGCAAGTCTATGCCCGTGGGGAACGTTCCTCAACTGGCGAATGAGACGAATATACGATTGAACATCAACACCATCCTGCGCTCCATGTCCACAGTAGTGCGTGCTAGCTTCTCTCGATCCTCACGAAATTCTCTGAGCAAATCTTTGAACAAAGTTCGCTTGCCTTCGACAGAGATGTCGGGGGGAAAGTTCCAGTCGACCTCGGCGCTGCCATCTGCTTTTGGTCTCGTCCAAGACTCTGCTGATGCGGGGTTCCATCCAGTCTCCAGCAAGTAGCAAATGACAGCACCCATGGGGCCTCTGATGTGGCGAGGGCGACTGGGAACATCAATACCTCGAAGCTTCTTGACTGCCTTGGGCCACGCTAGCCTCACTGCATCACGAAGATGGGCTCCCTCATGAGCCCACATGCGAAACCACAACGTGAGACAAGCCGCGGCCATGGTGATGCCTGGGTCGCCCCGTCCGCCTTGGAGGGCCAATAGGGTGGTCAAGCATCTCCCTCTCGATGGCGCTGCACAGGCATGACCTTGACGTCTGCGAAAGGCTTTGACTGCATATCCAAGGGCTCCATGGCTTTGACGAGCGTATGATCCAGCTGCGAGCGATCCCTGGCGTTCGATCCTGGAGTCGACTTTGTAGTTTTTGGATGCTCTGGCGTGCTTGGCTATTTTGGGCACTCACCAGGGCTGACTTTTCCAATCGACGACGACGCACTGCTCTGGCGAGGCGAGGGCCTCCACCAAGATCTGCTCCAAGATATGCTACCCGGGTTGGGCCTCGATGGTGAAGTCAGCCTTGCGGACAAGACGAACGACGTGCTTGGCGCCCGCCAGGTGGGTGCACAAAACTGCTGATTTGACTGCGACCTGTACCTTCTGCCTGCGAAGTTCTTCACATGTATCAACGAGCACTTTTGCCAACGACTGCCAGATTATTTGGCTTGAGCTTTTGATGCCCAGCGGAAGGTCGTCTATCCAGATGCGATGTGTAAACTGAGGGTGCATGGCGGTGGTGGCCCGCAAGACGAAATCCACCATTCGAGCGAGCCGTGCTCCTGGGCGCAAGCCCTGGGCGATGCTCTTAGGGGGCCACATGCGAACCCTACCCCTACCCCCCACGATATCTGAAGGGGAGGGTGGGGTTCACTTCGTTCGGGACCGCCCGAGCGAAGTGAACCCCACCCTCCCCCTCAGAAATCGTGGGGGGTAGGGGTAGGGTTCGCATGTGCCCCCCCTAGCGCTGAGTTGGGACCAGCGGCACCGCGTGAGCTCCTCCCTGCCTGAACGTCCGCGGCACAGCTCACTTTTGCACCTCTGATGCTAGCGTCGCGGGCGAAGGCCCCCATCTTCAGCGCTCCTTCGATACGTATGTCCCACGCCACTGCGTCGTAGAACCCCGTGATGTCCAATGGGCCAATGCCCATGGACAAGGACAGGTGATGCGCAAGTTCCTCATCCAGTACTCGAAAGAATGCTCCTCGAAGGGCCGCGTTGCCTGCCACTGCCGCGTCCCAAACGGGAGCTTCTCGCTCCGCCCATTCTGGAACTTCAGGTTCTCTGCGCATTCGCCAGGTGCAAGCGAACATGGCGAGGATACCGATGATTCTATGTCCAGTTCCCTTGTGCTCTGGCATCATATGACCTATCGCGCGCTGAGTCTGAGCGGGCCAGGCAAGGACAAATCCATGGACTCATACATGGTGATCAGCTTGGACAGCGCTGGGTCGGGGAGGCGCTCCACGTCCAACGGGGGCAAGCGGTCGACTCGCTGGCCCAGCGTCGGTCTCACTTTTCTGGTTGCTGCTCGCACGCTCTCGGACGTGATATCCGCCAAGGGCCCATCCTCTTCGGCCAAGCGCACATCAGCAAAAGCACGCTCCAATCTGGCAATATCTTTGATCTGTGGGTGCCACATCGCCTCCCAATACTGCTTTTTGAAATCCATGATATCAGAAGGGTTGTGGGCGACCTGCTCATTGACAACGATCTCCTGCTGGACGAGGGGCTCGTCGCGAATAATGCGGTGGAGCTCGCCCAAAGTTTCAGACGTATCAACCCATTCCTTGACACAGCAAAGTGATGCTTTGATTGCTTAATTTTGCGCCCTCTTGCTGACCTTGCATATCGACGCCTCGATCTTGCTGAGATTCTGATCTGAGTAATCTTCCAGCGTTCGCAACGACCTGACCAACGTTTCCCAACTTGGCTCCTGAGGGCGCAGTGCATGCTCTGCTTTCTCAGGAATATCGCCCAAGAGTTTGACGATGGCATTGTTCAACGCCTGCATTTGCTTGCTACCGTTTGTCCTGGTGCGGTGTCTGCTGATCGCCGCCGCCACCGAGGCGAGTCTGGTCCCCCAGCTTGCGACCGAATCCTGAAATGGCTGGAGTCTGAAATGCTCAGCCTGGTGAATCTCTCCGACATGAAATGCGTGCCCCTGAGCTCTGCTGGGGCCTGCTGGCATATCGCAAGTGTGGTGGGTGCAAATCACAGCTTCCACTGTGGCGACCCAGGAAGCGTACAAGCCTGTGAGGGCTGAGACATGGCTTGAGCCAAAACGGTAACAGACAGACGATTCGATGTGGTCATGTATTGCGAAGGCCTTACGGCCGGTGCCGCCGACCCTGAAGACGGCGACGACGAGGACGACGAGATTGTTGAGGAGCAGGTGGCGGAGGACGCTAGGGAGCAGGAGGGGCGAGGAGGAGGAGGAGGAGGAGGAGGAGGAGGAGGAGGAGGAGGAGGAGGAGGAGGAGGAGGAGGAGGAGGAGGAGGTGCGAGGGGGGAGGAAGAGGACGAGGAGGGTGGGACATTCTTTTGAAGTCGTCTTGGGGGCTCCTGGGTTTGGGCATTTCTGGGAAGCTCTTGGGGGCCGCTTGGGATGCTCGTGGGAGCCTCTTGAGCCTACCTGGGGGTCTCTTGGAGGCTTCTTGGGGCTTCCTGGGGTGCTTCTTAGGGGCCTCCGGGGGCTTCCTGAGAGCATCTGAGGCCGAGGGCTCGAAATGTTCGTTCGGGTCCCCCGTCTGGGCTCCTCCTTGGAGCCGTCTTGGGGGCCTCTTCGGTTGTCTTGGAGATCTCTTGGTCGGTCTTGGGGCTTTCTTGGGTCGTTTTGGAACTCTCTTGGAGGCCTCTTGGGCCATCTTGGGGCGCTCTTGGGGGCTTCTCGGCCGGTCTTGGATCGTCGGGAAGTTGACAAGGTGACAACGCCGAAATCTTAAAAAAACGTACGGGTAATCTATGATTCTTGCCCCTGGAGGCCGTCTTGGAAGTCCTCTTGGAGGCTTCTTGGGGCGTTGTGGAAACCTTTTGTGCCGTCTGTGGCGGCTTACACCGATACTTCAGTGATATGGAACCCTCGAAGATCGATTTGGGGACATCTTGGAGCACTTTTGCCGCGTCATGCGGGTTTTCTTGGCTGCCGAACCGCCCGAGGGGTAGTCGTATCTGCCCCGGGACCCCCTGGGACCCCCCCTGGGACCCACCCCTGGGAACCCCCCCGGGACCTCCCCCCCATGGGGACTCCCCCCCCCGGCGGGGAAGGGATCAAAGAGAAGGGGCTTCCCTTCGACTCAACTACAACGTAACAGCCTCTTCCACACGCCGACAGGGTCGGCAGATTTTACCGGCAGCTGGGGACAAAACCGACCTGAGCACGAGTTTCATTACAAAGAGACTCTGTCATGTGGAAACTCGGGCTCGGGGGCTCTCCCAGGGGCTCGTCTAGGCTGGTGGGTGTGTGGTTTGAAACGACGCTCTTGGAAGACTGTGTTAGGGAGACATTGTCTTGCAGAAGCCAATTATTCTCTGGCCACGCCTCGAGGTCATCATCACCCTCGCCGTCAGGAGCACTTAGGAAAGACCAGAAACCTGCAGGGCAGCTCTCGGGGGCGCCTCTGAAGTGGCTGGTTCCAAGCGGTCTCCGAACATAGCGTTAGAAACCTCACTCCTACGCTGACGAGACAAAACTTGCTTAACTTTGCTGGCTGCCTTGGCCTGGGATGCTTTGGATCCAGGCGTCACAGCAGCTCGGGGTCTGAAATATTTCGGAAGCTTCCCTGGCAAGGATAACATTCGGGTAACCAATTGGGACCCAGACGAATGAAACTGCAAAACCAGGCCCAAACGCGGAGCAGGATGAGGAGGGGGGCCAGGGGCAGGGGGAGGACGTGGGGGGGAGGAGCAGTAGGAGGAGTCCATTCGGGTCCCCCGTTTGGGTTCCCTAATGGAGCCGTCTTGGGTGCTTCTTGGCCTGTCTTGGAGGCGTCTCGGGCCGTCTTGGGGCCCTCTTGGACCACTTCGGGAATGTCTTGGAGGACTTTGGGCCGTCCTGGGGCGATCTTGTGGGCCTCTCGGGCCGTCTTAGAGCTTCGGGAAGCGGAAGAGGCGAGAGCGCCAAAATCCTTCAAAAACCAAAGGGAAGCTTATGAATTTGGCCTCTGGGGGTTTTCTTGGGAGTGCTCTTGGAGGCCTCTTGGAGCGTTTTGCAGGCCTCATGGGCCTGCAGGAGGCCGTGAAGGTGTCTTGGACAGATCGTTGAGCGATTCAGGGCCCTCTTGGACAGTCTTGGGGACCTCTTCGGGTAATCGTGGCCCGTCCTTTTTTTTTTTTTTTTTTTTTTTTTTTTTTTTAATTTATAAAAAAAAAACCTGGGGACCCCCCAGGAGGGAGTCGCATTTGGGTCTCGACCGGAAATTCCCCACCACCCGCCCCCGACGGGGGAGGGATCACAGGGAGGCGTCTTGGACAGATCGTTCGGCGATTCGGGGCCCTCTTGGACCGTCTGGTGGGCTCTTCGGGCACTCTTGGCCCGTCCTGGGGCTTTTTTGGGACCCGGGACCCCCTGGGAGGGAGTCGCATCTGGGTGGCGACACCCCCCAGGACCCCTCCCGGGACCTTCTCCCTCCTTTCCGACGGTATCAAAGGGAGTTGTCTTGGACAGATCGTTCGGCGATTCAAGGCCCTATTGGACAGTCTTGGGGGCCTCTTCGGGTACTTTTGACCCGTCCTGAGGCTTTTCTAGGACCCGGCATCCCCTGGGAAATAGCCGTATTTGGGTGGCGACCCCTCTGGGATTCCCCCGGGGACCCCCCCCGGGGGAGTCGTATCTTGGTGGCGACCACCCCGGGGACCCCCTCGGGACCCCTCCCCCCCCGACGGGGGAGGGATCAAAGGGGGGGGCTTGCTTTCGATTGAGTTACGACGTTGCTCAATTTCGCTTTGGCTGGAGGAGTGCCCAGGAAAGGGGGGGAGCGGCGACGGGCCCATGGAAATGGGGGCCGCAGGGAAAGGAGCCGGCAGAGACGACGACTAACCAATGACGCAGATGACGACTCGAACGGACAAGCCCCCTGCACACGTCGATAGGGTAGGCGGATTCTTAGCAGCTGCCATCTTCAGCTAGTGGGGTTTGCTTTTTCGCATGATATTCGGCGATTGGCTACATTGGCTTGGGGCAAGCATGACGTCGCAAGAATGGGTCCACGCATGCTGGGTGTGGAAGTCATTGATATTCAGAGACTGGCGCAGAAGCATGTCCCACCAGGCGTGACTCCTGGGCTGAAAGCCGTGTCGGAAGCCTGGCTTGGAAAAACAATTGATAAAACCGAGCAGTGTTCAGACTGGGATCTTCGGCCTCTCTCGGCATCACAGCTGCGATACGCAGCCATCGATGCAGCCGTTCTGCTTGACATTGCCCACGTGATGGACGTCCGTGCGTGAGCGAAATTGTGAGCCAGAGCCGTCGGAATCTCCCATCCCGGTGGTAAGCCAGTGGGCACTACTCATCCTGCTCCGCCTTCCTTCTGCGCTCCTCCTTCCTCCCAGCCGTTCGGCAGGGATGTTCTGCCAGTCGGCGGCGAGCTAGGGGGGGAAGTAAGAAGGAGAAGGCCTTCTCAGAATGCGACGTGACTTCTCAGAAGCCCTCGCGCCTTCAGAGAGGCTTGCTATGTCGTCGGGGGAGGCTTAGAAAACTTCTTACACGGCCAGGGGACTTCCGAGCCTTCTGAGAAGGCCCGCCCCTTCGCACTTCCACCCCGCGCTCGCCGCCAAGCCAGCCCAGCGCTCTGACATCTGACTTTCAGAGGCTATGTGAGTGTTCACATGCGTCCGTGGATGGACTTTTCGCCTCGGTGGTCTTTTCTCGCTTTGTCGGCGACGGTGTGTCGAGATTGTCTTGCCACTCGCGGAGAACGAGACGGCTCCGCGATGCCCCCAATACCGCCTTATTAGGCGCCCGAGGACGCCAGCAGCCCCCGAAAGGCCCCAAGATGCGTCCGAGACGCCCCCAGCAGTTCCGAGGCAGCGCCAAGTAGCTGTCCACGAGGAGACCCCACAGGAAGTCCGTAGCCGTTTTGGCCCGAGCCGTTAAAGCTCGCCTGGCTCAGGATGGTTTGATTCGGCACGCAGTCCAAGGCGCTGACGTGAGGACCACTTTGGGCCCAGGAGGGGCTCGGGTCTTCGGGCTTAGGTCGGGGAATCTGTTCGTGGACGAGGCCCGCCGTGGCCAGGAGAGCTCCTTCGTTCCTTCTCTGGCGCGCCTTCTGGCAGTGCCAGGACTGCACTGCGAAGGCCTTACGGCTGGTGCCGCCGAGCCTGAAGGGGGACGACGACGATGCTGACGTGGGTCAGGGTCCTCAGGGGATGCCTCTGGGGGTCTCTTCGGAGCGCTCTCGGGGGCCTCTGTGGGGCAGTTTTGGGGCCTCTTGGGAGTCACTTGGGGGACTTACGGAACGTTTCTCTGAGGCCGGGAGGGGAATCTTTATCAACCGGGGAGGTCCAGGAGGGGAGCTGGTCGGGAAACGGGTCGCGCCTTGCGGATGATTTCGGAAGGCAGCCTTAACGTGGACTTTTCACATTAACATTAAACTTTCAATATGTGTTCACATGATCTGTTGGCCTTGACGTGGAAAGCCTGCTTTAAGAACGTCCTGGGGTACGTTAGCACGCGAATCCTATAGCGTGGAAGGTTTCCACGTTGAGGTACCGCACGATCAATCCATGTTACCCTCAAGCGTGAAAGTCTCCCATGATGAAATGTGGATGGGTAGTCTGAACGTGGAATTTCCCACGTTAGCGCCATAACGGAGGATCTCTTCGTCGTTGGCGCCTATGTTGTGAAATTTTTGAACAACCACATTGTTTTTTCGAATCGTCTTACACCTCAGCAAGCGTTTCGTTCGAGATATCCTCGACCAGCACATTCGGGCGGGCTTTCGAACATATCATAGCAGGGACAACGTGATGCTGTTGATGGTGACAATGGTGGTGGTGGTGGTGGTGGTGTGGATGATGGTAGTACTGGCTGTGATTGTGATGATGTTGCTTATTCCGAGGACGATGTTGGGACAACGTGATGCTGTTGATGGTGACAATGGTGGTGGTGGTGGTGGTGGTGTGGATGATGGTAGTACTGGCTGTGATTGTGATGATGTTGCTTATTCCGAGGACGATGTTGAGGGGGACAATGACAAATACCAGAAGGAGGACGAGTTGCTGCAGTGGGACAGGATTACGTTCAGGAGCAGCTTGCTACCCAGAAAAGTTCAGCGCCACGTCTGAACTTGCGCGGATAGTGAACACCAGTTGGTACCCCCTGTGGAAGTGCGGGGGGGAGAGCGCTTGCGCTACAGTGGACATTAATTTGGGTGCAAGTTCTTGCCAAGCTCTTCGATTTTGCGCGCTTCTCGTTCAAGTCAAGAAAGGTTCATGGAACATGGTCGTTTCGCCCGAGGCATCCTCGACCCATCGGCTCAGGAGGGGCGTCTGAACTGAGTAACGTTGTCCAGGGATCGCCTCTGGAGGGCTTCGGAATGGCCTGGAAGAGCCCCAGAGGGCTCCCCAGAGGACACACACACAGGGCCCCACGATGCTCCTAAGCGTCCCCAGGAGGCCCACAGACGGCCCAAGAGAGCCCCAAGACAGCCTAAGATTGCGCCCAGACAGTTTGAGAAAGCTCCCACAGAACCTTCAAACACGCCCAGGCAGCCCAGGAAGACCCCAGAGGCCCCCAAGGGGACCCCGACAGGCCCCCAACAGGCCCGAAGATAGCCCTAGACGGCCCCAACAGCCCCCAGCGTAGCTTCGAAAGATCACGAGGGCCCCTCCTTCTTCGACGCCCTTTTCCTGTCACTCCTTACTGTCCTCCTTCGTCGTCGTCGCCCTCCTCCTCCTCCTCCTCCTCCGCTTCGTTCCTCCTCGTTCTCGTCCTCCCTCATGTCTTTCTCCTTGTCCTTGTGTTTGTCTTCCCCCTTGTTGTCCTCCTGCTCCCCTCGCTGCCCTCCCCGTCATCCTCGTCATCCGCCTCCTTGTCGTCGCCATCGTTTTTTTCCTTATCTGGCTTTCGATCCCACTTGACAAAATCGGCGTTTCTGGCTCCTATCCGATCAGGTTTCTGCTCGAAAACTCGGCTCCAGAGGGGACTCCAATCCAGCATCATCTTGGAATCGCTCCTGGAGGGTTTCAAGACGACCCAAAGAGTCTCGAAAGGCCCTCCGGAGAACACAAAGAGGGCCCCCAGAGGTTCTCAAGAGCGCCCCGGGGGCCCCCGAGACGGCCCAAGACAACCCAAGATTGTGCCAAGACGGCCTGGGAAAGTCCCGCCAGACAGCCCAAGAAGATCCCAGAAGCCCCCAAGGGGACCCCGACGGGCCCCCAAGAGGCCTCCAGGGTGCCCGAAGATAGCCCCAGACTGCCCCAACAGCCCCCAGGGCAGCCTCGAAAGATCACGAGGGTCGCCCCCCTTCTTCGACGACCTTTTCCTCAGGCCCCTTATCGTCCTCCTTCGTCGTCGTCACCCTCCTCCTCCTCCTCCGCCTCCTCCTCCTCCGCTTCGTTCCTCCTCGTGCTCGTCCTCCCCCATCTCTTCCTCCTCGTCCTTGAATATTTCTTCCTTCTTGTTGCCTTCCTGCTCCCCTCGCTGCCCTCCCCGTCATCCGCGCTGTCATCCTCGTCATCCGCCGCCTTGTCGTCGCAATCGTTTTTGAAATTTATTCAATCGCGTCGCTCATTTCGCCGCCCCGTATTGGTGCACGGCTGTCGAGTGCCCGTGTGATCGTTGTCAATGGGGTGCTGCTGGGTCGTTTTTTTGTTTATGGATGGCTGGCTTTGGGTGATTTCGCAGGCGGGAACCATTCTTTGCCCGCCTGAACCTTCTGTTTCGGAAGGTGGCGGCTCGTGAATACGATCGCAGGGAACAATACAACATTATGCAGTTTCCTTTTTGCATTCTTCGGGCCCCTTGTCGCCTTTTGGGGCCTCTTAGGAGCCTCTTGGGGCGTCCAGGAGGCCTCTTGGAGCGCAAGGCTCGGATTTTCGGTTCGTGGTCTCCATCTTGGGCCTCTCTTGGGGCCCTCTTGGGGTCCTTTTGGACCGTCTTGGGCGCCTCTTGGGCTGTCGTAGGGCTCTCTTGGACGGTCGTGGGCCTCTCTTGGAGGCCTCTTGGGCCGTCTTGGGGTGGTCTTTGGGCCGTCTTGGAGCGTCGGAAAGGCGAAAAGGCGAGGAAGCCAAAAACCTTGATAAACCCAATGGAATACAATGGTTTTGGCGCTGTGAGGCTTCGTGGACGTTCATTGGGATCTCGTTGGATGCCTCTCGAGGGCTTCTTGGAGACTCTCGGGAGTCGTTGTCGAGCCTCTTGGGGTCTCTGTCGGCCCCGTGTCGCTTTTTGGAGCCTCTTAGGGGCCTCTCGGATCTCGGAGCCTCCAGGAGGCCTCTTGGAGCGGAAGGCTCGGATTCTCGGTTCGTGGTCTCCATCTTGGGCCTCTCTTGGGGCCCTCTTGGGGTCCTTTTGGACCGTCTTGGGCGCCTCTTGGGCTGTCGTGGGGCCCTCTTGGGCGGTCTTGGGGCTCTGTTGGAGGCCTCTTGGGCCGTCTTTGGGTGGTCTTGGAGGCTTCTTGGGCCGTCTTGGAGCGTCGGAAGCGCGAAAAGGCGAGGAAGCCAAAAACCTTGATAAACCCATTGGAAATCAATGATTTTGGCCTCTTGGGGCTCTCTTGGAAAAGGGTCGGGGCTCTCTTGGGACGTCTTGGAAGCTTCTTGGGCCGTCTTGAGGCCGTGTTGGGCGTCTCGGGCCGATCGTTCGGTGATTCGGAACCCTCTTGGACCGTCTTGGAAGCCTGTTGGGGCCCTCTTGGCGCGCTCCGGGGAGCGTGGAAGGCCGCACCCAGGAGGAAGGCCGCACCCAGGAGGAAAACCATCTCTGTCCTGAGTTTGCCGGGAGTGTCTCGGGACCTTGCCGAGGCACTTTCCGGCCGGGGACCCCCAGGGGCCGCTCCGCGCGCGCGAAGTATAGAGTTATTGTTAACCAGTTGCCAGAGATCTTAGCACGCCTCTGGCCCGTGGGGCAGGCGAATTGTTGTTCTCTGCGTTGCGAATCCAATGGACA